GTTTCTGTTTATTTCTACTTGTTTTTTTAATTTAAGTTAAATATTGTTAAGATACTTTCTTTCATCAATATTAACAATTTTAAGTTTAATATATTAACAAAGAGCGTGTTTTGGGCAATTTTTATCGATGAAAAGGTTTTGTTAATATAGTGGTTCATTTTTTTTTTATCTTTTTCATTTGTTTCTAATTAAAAAAGTTTCTTTTTATTAGAGAGGTAAGGAAATAAAGCTATAGAAAAAAAGAAGGAAATAAAGCTGTAATAAATAAGTAAAAGTCACTTTTTTATTTTAAGTTTGAAAGGGAATTACAGCTGTGTGATTACAATTTCAAGAACCACATTTTATTCGATAGTTTATAAATAAAAAACAGCATAAGATGGGTAACACACCCAAATTTTATTCATCCTTCAGGACATGAAGAATTCTCAGTGAAGAGAAATGTTCAAATTGCTTGAAGCAGCCTCAAACTCTGTTCCCACAGTGTCAGCTGCAGCACGTGCCGTAAGCATTTGATCCTCATTCAATCCAATTGGCAGATACAGATCCACTCTCTCCAACACACGACCATAGCGAATCAGATACTTGAGGACATGTAACTCGTACGTACCCCCACTAAAGCTCCAGACTTCCACTTTCTTAAGTGTCCTCTTCAGACACTTATGACTGATGTTATTCATCCAATAAGCCTCTGGATCGAACTGAGGAACCATCATATCAATAAGCCTAGGATCCACTATCTGAAATGACAGAATCTCCAAATATGGACAGCTGTTGATCATGAATCGGATTCCAATGAACTCATTCGGTTCCAGAGCAGACTTCAGTACCAACTGTCTTGTCTCCATCCGTTCTTTCAGTCTAACCGAATCTTCACTCTCCTGGATCAGTTGGAGAAGATATGGACAAATCGTGAATGTCCTAGCGGATCGGAGATGATAGAGGAGATTACACAGTTGGGATCCTGTACTACCATTGTAGTCGATCGCTTCACCAAAATCAAGATAAGCTTCTTCCATTCCCCTAATCGCACTCACGAGCTCAAAGTGATGAACTTTTCCAAAGTACTTGAAGATCTGAATGTTGGGAACGTCGAGTGTAGATTTCTCCACCGAGAACACACAGTTCTTAAATACAACCTTCCTTACCCGGTCGTTAAATCCGGTTATTGCTTCAAGACCGACCTCCCAACAATTCTTCATGATCAAAGTCTCGAGAAATGGTGCCTTCGCTATCAAAGCCGAGATATTCTCGAGACGGATCCAACGAAAGCAAAGGATTTTAACCAAACCCGGGTTCGCAAGCCTTGATGGATTAAACCGGCAACCGAATAACTTCAACGTCACGAGAGTGGTAAGTTTGTAAAAACTTTCCGGAACTTGAATCAAACCCCGTTCTAATGCTGCTGCATCATCTCTGACTCTCCAGCGACGCTCTGAGAGATCAAGAATAAGATGCTTGACATTCTTGGAGACTGCGAATTCGATCAGTCTTGTGACACCTTGTTCGAAAGAATACGAGTTCGAGAGACAAAGCTCGAAACTCTCAATAACTCCACCGGTAAAATTGTCAACCCAACCAACCATATAGGCAACCAACTGTGCTCTTTGGTAATACTGATCAATATGGTTGCCAGCAAAAGTCACCATTTCGGACTCTCTGAAAGAGATGTTTTTCACTTCCCGGTACAAGTATCGCCAGCGCTTGGAAAGCATACTGGTTTTCAAAACGTCCTTGAAGGGAAGGAAAGATATTATCAGAACAAGCAGACAGTCTGATAACGTCGAAATGATGTCAACCGGTGGATTTCTTGAATACATTGTTGATGATTTTGAAACTGAAGCGCGAATGAATTCAAGAAGAGAACAGTATGTGTGTGTGTGTTGGCGTGAGGGCAAATAGTGTTTTTCGTGTCTTTATATATGTGTTTGAAACGTTGCGACTTTTTGTGTGTGTTTTTATCTGTTTGGCGGTTCTAATTTCTCTAACCGCTCTCTTTACAGAGGTTAGGGTTTGTCGTTTTCTCTGAATAGTGTTTTTACTCTTGAAGCATTGCGACGATACGCATTTTCTAATTAATGATCCTGACTGGGCCGATGATTAAATGTACTAATAATGGGCTTTATTTTGATGACCCAATTTAATAGGCCCATTAGATAATGGACTTTTTCGCGGTTAAAGAAAGAAACAAATTTGACACTGCTATAGACTCACGTCACGTCTTTGGTTTGGTGATTCCGTCTGTCCAACGGCGTGAAGGGAAACGTTGACTAGCTGTCAAACGTTGACATATAAGTCAAGTTTTAAAGAGCACAGTGAGTCCAGGCAGAAAGTGGGTCCCATCCAAAAACCTCACCGATTTCTTAGATCTTCGAAACCTCTCTCTCTCGCATTCACACTCTCGTTCGTTTGATTTTGGATCAAGGTAAGCTTCTCCATTATTTCCGATGCGATTACGTCGTAAGTTTGTTCGCTTGCTTCGATTTCGGATATTTTTTGGATCGTTGTTCGCAATCGTAGTTTAGTTTCTGTAGATTCTCAGCCGTTTTTACTCAAATTGTTAGGAGAATGCGCAAATGATACTCAAAGGTTTTTTGTTAGGCTTGAATTTGTGTGTTATCTGTTTAATTTGATTGGAGTTTCTCTTTGAACGCTACAGATACAATGAGCTGTTTTGGCTGTTGCCGCGAAGATGATTTGCCTGGAGCTGCTGATTATGGAGCTCACAATATGACCAAACAATCTGGAGGTACTATTAACAAATCATGTTTCTGCTTATATGTGTTCTTTGAATTAATTTGCTGATTTTCTTCCATGGGAGTGAAGGAAATGATGGAAGGCGCAACGGTTCTGAAACTGCACAAAAAGGTGCTCAAAGTGTGAAGGTGCAGCCTATAGAAGTAGCTGCTATTCTCGCTGCTGAACTGATAGAGGCAACTAATGATTTTGGAACAAATTCTCTTATCGGTGAAGGCTCGTATGCGAGAGTATATCACGGGGTGTTAAAGAATGGCCAGCGTGCCTCGGTTAAAAAGTTAGATTCTAACAAACAGCCTGATGAAGAATTTCTTGCTCAGGTTTGGTTGATATAGTAGGTTATTTGTTGATGGATTATGTCATTATTGTCCAACTTTTCATTTGAATTTTGGAAATGAATCTTCAGGTTTCCATGGTTTCGAGGTTGAAGCATGCTAACTTTATTGAGCTGCTTGGTTACTCTGTTGATGGGAATACGCGGATACTTGTCTTTGAGTTTGCTCAAAATGGATCTCTTCATGATATTCTTCATGGTACAGTGTCGAAATAAAATTTTGGGACATATATGTTTTATTTTGTTTTAAGGTGTGATTTTTTTGATGTTATAACATATCCTATGCTTCCTCAGGGAGAAAAGGTGTGAAGGGAGCAAAGCCTGGTCCACTCTTGTCTTGGCATCAACGAGTGAAGATTGCGGTTGGAGCAGCAAGAGGGCTTGAGTACTTACATGAAAAGGCGAATCCACATGTCATTCACCGTGACATAAAGTCCAGCAACGTTCTAATCTTTGATAATGATGTAGCTAAAATTGCTGACTTCGATCTGTCAAATCAAGCTCCTGATATGGCAGCACGCCTTCATTCGACTCGTGTTCTTGGAACCTTTGGTTACCATGCCCCTGAGTAAGTTGGTTTTCTTATCTCCTTCTTCTTCTTCTTCTCCATTGCTCAATCATCGATCTCTCATATGCTCGTCTTCTCTTTAATAGATATGCAATGACTGGGCAACTGAGTGCCAAAAGTGATGTATACAGTTTCGGAGTTGTACTACTCGAGCTTCTTACAGGTCGAAAGCCTGTTGATCATACATTGCCTCGAGGCCAGCAAAGTCTAGTCACATGGGTAAATATATTCACCTCTTTCAAAGATGAACAATCTTGCAACATGTACTTTTTCAAAGATCTTACTAAACAATCAAAACTCTGTTGTTGCCTTAGGCTACACCAAAGCTAAGCGAAGACAAGGTTAAGCAGTGTGTTGATTCAAGACTCGGAGGAGATTACCCTCCAAAAGCTGTTGCTAAGGTATAAACCGAAACTGAGTCTTGAAGTAATGAATACATAGAACCAGTCTTGCTATAAATGTTTTGTGTTTGATCATCTTTTTTGTTGATAATGCAGTTAGCTGCTGTTGCTGCATTGTGTGTACAATACGAAGCTGATTTCAGACCAAACATGAGTATTGTCGTGAAGGCTCTGCAACCATTGTTGAATGCTCGGACCGGACCTGCGGGAGAAGGAGCACCTTAGTGTTAAGTGTTAACCCTTAGCCGTCACCGTTTAAAGTTCTTTTATTTATACTGGAAAAATCATTCTCAAACAACATTCAACATAGTGTTCATAGAATTCTGACATTGATACTTATTATGATTTGACCACTAAAGTCTCCTGTTTTGTTTTAAATTTAAACTAAAACCCAGTGGGAGTAATTGAAATTTTTTATAAGTAAACTATGGATTAGAACGAAAAATATCTCATCTTAAGTAAAAATACTGTTTTACAGAATATTATTCAACCAACTACAAAGATGTCGACAGAAATTAATTGTTTTAGTCTTTTATATGCTTTTCTTATAGAGTTGTTTCCATTATAGTTGTGGAAAATTGGAAGTTAGGACGTACGTAAACGTCGTGACAAATGGAAATTAGAAAACAGTAATAAGTTTCTTCGTTAAAAACGAAAACGGTGATGTCTTCGTTGAAGTTAAAGTCATCATGGTCAACGTCAACTACAAGACAACGGACGTAAACGAAACGGTCGGTGGACGAGAGCGTCCACTAACCACAGTCTCACCCCTACTCAACCGATGCCAACAAGGCATTAACCACGACTCTCCACCAATCAAAACGCTTAACTTTTCCTTTCCTAAACTACCCTTCCCCTCGCCGATACTTCAGGGGCAAAATCGTCAAATAACACTCGCTTCATCATCAGGGTAATATAAGGGGAAGAGCAAAAAGTTTTTTTGGCTAATAATTGAAAAAGCCCTTATTCGAAGATTCCTCTGGCGATTCGAAGTAGCTTACGGCGGCGGAAGAACGATGTCGACTAACACGACGAGCGATGGGGATTTCGGGACGGCTTCAGTGGCGGCGGAGATGGCTGAGGCTCAATACGTGAGGGCGAAGACTTCAGTGTGGTGGGATATAGAGAATTGTCAAGTCCCAAAGGGTCTTGATGCTCATGGAATTGCTCAGAATATTACTTCTGCGCTTCAGAAGATGAACTATTGTGGTCCTGTTTCTATCTCTGCTTATGGTGATACTAATCGCATCCCTTTGTCGATCCAACACGCTCTTAATTCCACCGGAATTGCGCTCAACCACGTCCCTGCCGGTAACTTCCTTATAAACTCCTTCAAAACCATCTCTGTTACTTGTTTGTTATTGCTATCTCTGTATCTTTATTTGCTTGGCTAGATTTCAATTGTGAATTGATTATTTTCTAGGGTCGTTTTTGTTTGATTTTAATAACCAAAGTTTTTATTTTTATGTTATGGTTTACTATTTCAGGCGTGAAAGATGCGAGTGATAAGAAGATCTTAGTGGACATGTTGTTCTGGGCGTTGGACAACCCTGCGCCTGCAAATTTTATGTTAATATCAGGAGATAGAGACTTCTCCAATGCTCTTCACGGATTGAGAATGAGACGTTACAATGTTCTATTGGCACAGCCTCTCAAAGCATCAGTGCCACTTGTTCATGCTGCAAAGACTGTGTGGCTTTGGACAAGCCTATCTGCTGGAGGAATCCCTCTTACACGAGCTGAAAGCTTACAACTTGTTGCGAACCAGACGACCCCAACATCTGGTTCAGAGATGCCAACTCAGGAGTGTATTCCATCAAGCCAACCTCTGGATTCAAATTTTGACTCCAGGAGAGTCTTTGACAACAAACCCAAGGTGAAATACCTTTCAAAACAATCAAATCATCAGTCTGTCATGCCAAAGGCTCAGGAAACTAAGCCTAACAATAACTACCGTCAGCAACAGAACACTCAAGGGAAACAGTTTAAGAAAGCCCCACATGAGTTCTTTGGCAGTAGCCAGCCATCTGTTTCCACTAGCAGACCTCCTCCCAATTTACCCTCTAGCAATGTTAACACTTTCCCTGGTAATGTGATGACTAATCCTCAGAATCAGAATCAGAATCAGAATCAGTACAATTATCCTCCTCGACCTGGTCCTTTCCCTCCCAGACAACCTTACCCTAACCCTGATCCTTCTTGGAATAATGGAAATAGCATCCCAAATCATGCTCAGAACTATTATCCCAATGCTGGCAGACCAGGTGCTTCTAATATGCGGCCACCTTATGGTAATGTTTTCCGTCCTTACCGCCCAGAGAATCTCAATCCTCCTATTGGTAATGGTTTCCGTCCAATGCAGCACCCGCGAAATGACGGGCCTAGGTTTCCGTCTCCACCTCTCTTGACTGCACCTGATATCAGCAATCTAAGTGTGTCTCAATATCCTAGTCAAACTCAAAATCGTCCTAATTTCAATCCTCAAGTTAGACAAGAATTCAGACCAAAGATGGAATCCTCATATTCTCATAATGGTCCAAATAAGGGTTATATTCCACGGACTAGTAGTGCCCCGGTAACGCATTCTACGACAACCACTGGCTACACCAACTCTTCCAGTCCTGGAGTTCCACCTTCTCAGCCTCCAGTGGTTACTGGATCTGGTTCTAGCAATGGTATGTGGGGAACACAAGAGTGTCCTCCACCATCTGAGTATGTTCAAGGCCTTATAGGCGTTATCTTACATGCTCTAAACATCTTGAAAACTGAAAAAGTTATGCCTACCGAGCCAAATATCTCGGATTGCATTCAGTACGGAGATCCAAAGCATCGCGGTACTGACATAAAGAAGGCTTTGGAAAGTGCATTGGAGCATCATATGATCGTGGTGACAAATGTAGGTAAACTAAAGCTCTACATTGGCAAAAATGAAGCTCTTTGGAACTGTGTAAACCCTTTAGGGGCAAACGCTAAGCAATACCCAAAAGCAACTTGGGATAGAATACAAGAGTTTCTAACCTCTTCTTCTGGTCGTGTGGCGTTTACGGCAACTCAGTGCAGGTTAGAAAGTTTGATTACTTAAGGATCTATAGTTTCTAACCCATGAAAATGTTGTAACATCCTTTTCTTGCTCTTTTGATTGAATATATAGGTATGAAGCTGCACAAGTTCTGAAAAAGGAATGTCTAAAAGAGCTTACTTTAGGTGACATACTACAGATCTTGAATATAACGGCAACCACAAAGAAATGGATTACTCATCATCAAACCGGATGGAAACCAATTACTATTAGCCTTGCTGCAGAGACAAAAGAGACAACAAACGAGACAGCTACTGAAACGGATACAGGTATCCAAACCGTTGCCTGAATTCAATCTTTGTTCCATGAAATACCGAAGAAGATGTAGTAGCAGCCATAAATAGAGCATATATGGGTACTACCTTGAATACCTAATATAGAGAGCACTAAGACATGGAAAAGTAGTGTTTTCCATATCAAAAACTTCAGAATGAGATGATTCTGAAGTCTAAGTACTAGTTCCTTGGTAGTAGTAGCACTTTTTTCATTTTACTTTCGTTGGTTCAGTAGTAAGGAGTCAAAGGCTAAAAATTTGGGGGTGGTTAAAGTTTGGACCTAAATGTCATGTACTAGAACATGATTGGGTTCATAAAAACCTTAGTGTTGCCATCATCAAGAAGATTGCACAATTTCATGAGGAGGATGTGATTGGGAATCTCTGCATCACCAAAGTTTCTGCATTTGTTACGTCAATCTGTTTCTTTTGGTCTTAAGAGGTTACAGTTATTTTCGTGATATTCCACTGTTGTTGGGGAAAATATCTGTAATTTTACCTCTTTTTTCTTTTTACCTACTTATGTCTCTTATTTATGTTTATGTATGAAGTTAATTTCTACTGGTACTTTTATTTATCATATTGTTTTTAAATACATGAATGAATCAGTGAATGCAGGTACATTCATATGAACAGAATAAACTTTTAGTCAAGAATATACAATAATTTCAAAATAGTTTCCATTTGAATTCTCTTATACTAATCAAATATCGCTAAAATGTGTTGGAGTAACATTAGTACAGTACAAAGGTTACATACTTTATCCAATGACTCAAAGTGTTGTGGTGAAAGAGACTCTGAATCAAGGAAGGAAAGGATTGTGAGATGGGAACGTCTGTTTTTGCAGATTATATGCCCTGCAAATGCCCAAAAACCCCAATAAACACCAGAACTAATATTTCCAGTTAATACATTATAGAAAAAACACATGTGAAAGTGACCTGTTAGCTTTGATTCCACCAAGTCCGATGGTTCCTAAGACAATCAAAAGGAAAGGTGCACCGATCAACCAACGGTTACCTCTTTTGGCAGATGAATATGTACCAGGAACTCCAGTCTTGACGACCCTCGAATATACACCTTATCAATGTTACAAATTGAGAGTCTCATCAATGTGTATAACCCATTAAGAACACATCTGAGTGTTTAGTAGTCTTTTTACCTGCTTTGTAATATCGTTGACCTTTAACATCACCTGCAAACAGAGACCAATGTTGAAAACTACAAAGCTTGATATTGTACGAGAGATAATGGTTCGGAATGTGTCGATATATAAATGATACGCTCTACAAAAACAGAGTAAACGTATCCTGATCTGCGAACTTGTAAACCCAAATAAGCTAGATTTTTTTTGTCATACTTCCAATTCCAACAACAATAGCTCCAAGGATTCAAATCTGCGATATCAATACCGAAACTATTTTAACTCTTTGGGAACTAAGAGAAACATCCAGACTTCAAAGCACTAAACCTTATGAGTAACTCATTGTTGCACTGGCCTACATTCAGTTTCAGAACATGTCGTGCAAAAATGAAGGAAGGTAAAAGATGTAGGAAAGAAAAATACACGCTAATGCAGTGGTTAGAAATTTTACCGTCGGCATTGAGCAGGCAACATGAGTTCACCGACCCGCACCTACTAGCTCATTTGGGTTTGTGCAGACCAAAGATTCTTACAACCAAGGAAAGAAACAATGTGAGAGAGAATTACCAGACTCTAGGCAAGAGTAAGCTTCAGATATCTGCAGCAAATTTCAATACTAACTTTAAACTTGTCTTGTGAGGAGAAATTGAACAAAAGATTGCAGAGATAAATATAAGAGAGAGAGAAGACAAACCGATTTGAACTTAGACTCGGCAACTTGCTTCTGATCATCGGGAAATAAGTCAGGATGTGATTCCCATACCTTCTTCCGGTAAGCAGCTTTAACCTATAGATCGATTCATATCAAAAATGTTATCTCGTAATTCCCAAAACTTGTGGATCGAATCAACTAAAATTGCCATCACCAAAATTCAAGTCTTATAATCGAAAAACACAGCTCTCAAATTCAAAAGACAGATAGATTCAACACGAGATCATCACAGTATCAAAAGATCTAGCGATTCAACCCTAATTTATCGAATTCAGTGATCGGAAAGTTCCAGGAAAAGCTAACAAACCACATGAATCAGAAAAAGGGAAGAAACCTGAGAAGGATCGGGACGAGAATTAGGAGGAAAGCCGAGCAAGATCTTGGCTTCCTCCACCTCCATTTTCCCGCGTCTACGTTTCGCTTCTCAGAGTCGGTCTTTCATTCATATATTATTAATCTCATTTTCGCATCAGAATCAGAATCATCATACGTGTTGTGTACCTCTCACAACCACTGCCCTACATTTCTATTTTTTTCACTAATATATATATAGTTTTGAACTTGACCAATAAATACTTTTATAAAATTATTTAACATGATAGAAATTATTGGAAACAAAATGATAAAAAAAATTTAGTCAATTATCTAAATAACATTTTAATATATATCTATTTCACAAGAAAATCGACTTTATTAAACACAGAGTTAAAGAACATAGTATATCTAAAAGAATTCTTATCAAAATATTCGAATTTCATATATACCACAAAATTTTATTTTAGATAAAAGTTCATACAAAGCTAAGAATGTCGTAAATGATTTGAGAACTTTTTTTCTAAACTCTAACTATCATTTTCTTAACCTAAAATTGGTAATATTATTTTTGTCATCAACAACTAAAATACTAGTATTACACTTTAATCCATATTTGCATTAGAAATAAAATAGAGCAAACATATTAACTCCATAACCGTTTAACCCGAAAATTAACGCGCAATTCCCTCCCTACCATATGTAATTACTAACAAGAACAAAAATCCACAAACCTAATCGCTAGCTGCCAAATATAGACGAACTATAAATATACAAAACATGCATTATGCATTTTTCTTAATCAAACCTCTCTTCCTCCGAATCCGTTCCTTTCCGATCCCTTTCTCCGTTCATACAAAAAACACAATCATGAACACTCCATTCAAACTCTTCTTTCTCTTCCTCTTTGTCGCTGCAACCGCAACCGCTGCGCCAGTCAAGCGAACGAACTACCTTTTCACACCGCACGCAAAAGCAGTAGCGGGAATTTGCACCGTTATCCCAACAAACACAAGTCTATGTTGCAAAACCCTTAAACACGTTCCTACCAATGACCCCATCGAATTAATCCGAGCATTAGTGGTTGCGGCTGAAACATCCGTCAAACAAAGTGTGACTTTCCTCTCTGGAATCAAACCAAAACACAAATCAGACGCAACCGCAACGGCAGCGGTCAACAGCTGCGAGAAAAACTTGAAGTACGCGTTGGAAGATTTCGCCGATTTTTGGAAAGCTACGGGGAAAGATGTAACGACGTTGGCTCATAATTATTTTACGTGTAAAAAAGAGTTAATGTCAATCATGGGGTATCATTCGACTTGTTTGGATGATATAGAAGACAAGAACTTGTTGAAGGAAGTGGAGATTGGGATTGGACTTGGGAAGAATCTAACAAGTGATTCTTTTGATGTGTTTAATAATTTGAATACCATTTTCAAGACTTTTGGTATTAAGGTGAAGCTTAACGAGGAAGACACTTCGCCCCGACCGCCACCGTTGTCTGATTATTACTACTGATCATATTAAGGGATTGGATGTAATAATTGTATCGTATAATGCCTAGAGCAATCGCGAATGGAATCATAGATGGTTGGTTCTGTCATGTATGATTATACGTCATTTGTGATGTAATGTTGTAGGTTTTGTACATGTACGGACGGATTTCGTGATGATTGGAAAGGATATATTAATTTGTTATTATTTTTTTGTCTCTATTTCAACATTTGTCGTTTAACTGATCAATGATTATTATTACGTACGATACATTTTTTTTTTGAATGAATAATAATACGATACATATTAATTAACTAGAAGATCTTAAATTTGATTAATGATTACTTAACATCCACAACAAAAGTATCGGAATGATGATTTAGGCATTTAGCCTCAGGAAATTTTGAAACCTGCAAAAAGTAATATTATCTGATAATCTCATTTGAAGCTGGTCTAACTAACATCATTAGCTTCTTTGAAAATTGACAATTAACCGGTTATTAACTGTTAACCACCATATATAACTGCTAATTAACAAGGCTAACTGCACAATTAAAACACACTCTAATATCGTATATCTATGATGCAAATTCTCTCTTATTTCTTATAATCATTCCGTAATTGTTACTGCTATTGAAGAAAGACTTATGATTTCGGTTTTCACATGTACAATCACTTTGATCGAAACTCATTTTAATCTTCAAGAAAGTTTACGTCAAAAGCCCATAATCCTTTCGTTATAAGAAGATTTAAAGCAATCTCACGTATATTAATTTACCATTTATGCGTTGTTGATACTGTCATAGAAGACATAATTTCCTACTAGCACTAGCTATTAATTTTCGATGTAGTGCCCGTTTAGTTTTAACCTTTAAAGGATGAGAGCAAACTCTCGACAATACGTTTTCGGAAACTTTACTTTAGGATAGATCACTAAACTTAGGAATGAGTAGTCCAAAATAAATTCACAAGATTAGAATTAGAGGATGCAAGTAAAACTAGTTACTGCCACAAACTTGTTTTCCTTCTTGAATCTACTTTTTATATTTTTAGTAATCGAACTCTTGATCAGGACATAATCAAATCATCTTGTGGTGACCAATTTTTGTTCTCATTGCCAATATTTGACTAGAGAATTTTTAGCCATTCAACGACCTTAAATCTCTCACTCCATGCAAACCCTAATTTTAGAAACTACAAATCCTATAAGAATGTCTCCACAACGCACCACAATCTCTACCAGCCCCATTAATAAACCACCGGGCTCTGTTTTAATAAAAAAAATCCCCTCCCTCTCCTATTTACCTCCCGAATAAAACCGGAGGGAGAGAAAAAAAAATCTAAATTAAAGAAAAAAAAATCAAAAGGGAAAAAAATTATAAAAACCAAAAAAATTTGAAAAAATGGCAGTAGGTAAAGTTGTGATATCTGTGGCATCACTCCTCCTAGTGGTGGGTGTTGCCATAGGAGTGATCACGTATGTTAATAAAGGAGGCGGCGCCAACGGCGACAGTAATGCTCCCATAAACTCTCATCAGAAAGCGGTTCAGACAATTTGTCAGTCAACCACAGACCAAGGTTCGTGCGCAAAAACACTCGAGCCAGTCAAAAGTGATGATCCAAGCAAGCTTGTCAAAGCCTTCCTGATGGCTACTAAAGACGCGATCACAAAATCCTCAAACTTCACGGCTTCGACCGAAGGAGGCATGGGGACTAACATGAACGCGACGAGCAAAGCCGTTCTGGATTACTGCAAGAAAGTATTGACTTACGCTCTTGAGGATCTTGAGACCATAGTTGAAGAAATGGGTGAAGATCTTCAGCAGAGTGGAACTAAGCTTGACCAGCTTAAACAATGGTTAACCGGAGTTTTCAACTACCAAACCGATTGTCTTGATGATATCGAGGAAGTTGAGCTAAAGAAGATCATGGGTGAAGGAATCTCTAACTCCAAGGTTTTGACCAGTAACGCTATCGATATCTTCCATTCCGTTGTTACCGCGATGGCCCAAATGGGTGTCAAAGTCGACGATATGAAGAACATAAGCATCGGAGCCGGAGCCAGCGGAGCCCCTGCACGTCGCCTTCTTGAAGACACCGACGCTAAGGGACTCCCCAAATGGTTTTCTGGTAAAGACAGGAAGCTTATGGCTAAGGCCGGACGTGGCGCTCCAGCTGGCGGTGCAGGTGGTGATGATGGTATCGGTGAAGGCGGTGGTGGCGGCGGTAAGATCAAGGCTACTCATGTAGTGGCTAAGGATGGAAGTGGACAGTTTAAGACCATTTCTCAGGCGGTTATGGCTTGCCCGGATAAAAACCCTGGAAGGTGCATTATCCATATCAAGGCTGGTATCTACAATGAACAAGTCACTATCCCTAAGAAGAAGAACAACATTTTCATGTTCGGTGATGGTGCTACACAAACCATCATTACCTTCAACAGAAGTGTTAAACTTAGCCCAGGAACCACCACTTCACTCAGTGGCACCGTTCGTAAGTCCCACAAAACCTTATGTATTGATTTGCATTGCTAAATAATCGGCCAAGGTACTAACATTTAATTTGTACATGCAGAGGTTGAATCTGAGGGATTCATGGCGAAATGGATCGGGTTTAAGAACACTGCTGGTCCATTGGGACACCAAGCGGTCGCACTCCGTGTGAACGGAGACCGTGCGGTCATATTCAACTGTAGATTCGACGGTTACCAAGACACTCTCTACGTCAACAACGGACGTCAGTTCTACAGGAACATTGTTGTATCCGGTACAGTGGATTTCATCTTCGGAAAATCCGCCACTGTGATCCAAAACTCTCTAATCCTCGTCCGAAAGGGCAGCCCCGGACAATCCAACTACGTTACAGCTGACGGTAATGAAAAGGGTGCAGCGATGAAGATCGGTATCGTTCTCCATAACTGCCGTATCATACCAGACAAGGAGCTCGAAGCTGACAAGCTAACCATCAAATCGTTCCTAGGAAGGCCGTGGAAGAAATTTGCCACGACTGTGATTATTGGAACTGAGATTGGTGATTTGATTAAACCAGAAGGATGGACCGAATGGCAAGGAGAACAAAACCACAAGACTGCTAAATACATTGAGTTCAATAACCGTGGACCGGGAGCTGCCACTACTCAGAGGCCTCCTTGGGTTAAGGTGGCTAAGTCTGCGGCTGAGGTTGAAGCTTACACCGTGGCTAACTGGGTTGGTCCAGCTAATTGGATCCAAGAAGCCAACGTGCCCGTCCAGCTAGGATTGTAAGAAAACAACAACAACAAAAAAAAGTAAAGAATAAAACAGTATGTGATAATGATAAGGTAACGATACGACGTCGTCTCTAGGGATCAGAGCTCTTTTTTGGGTACTATATACAAAGATAGGGTTCTAGACGTGTTGAGATGAAGTTTGTATAAGATTGCTTTTGTTTCACGTGCAAATGAGGAAAAAAAAATGTTTTGTTTCATTTTTTTTTGTATTACAAATAATTAAAAAAAATTTAATCACTCTGTTGTATCCTTTAAAAAAATTGATACACAAAATATTTTAACCAGCATCATTCGCTCAAATTTACCATTTTCCACTTTTATGATTTCTCATACTGCAAAAATAAAACTCTAGTACATTTACACAAACCAAAGAGATTTATTAAAAAATATGTGTGTGTAAACAAACATTTTCCAGTTTTGATAATTATTAATCTAAGAAATTCATTTTAAATATTTGGCATTGCAATTGTTTATGTCTAGATAGATACACTAGTTTTGGCAAATATTATTTTATGAGAAGTGTAATATGTTAGCAAATGCGAGCCCTACATCACCTAATTATAGTCCACTTCAAAGCAAAGCTGTCTCATAGATAAAGACTTCACCAATATCTAACACATTATATAAAGTGGCATTCATTGTCTTCTACCAACAGAAATGTCACACAACTCCTCCTAAGCCAATCTTTTCTTTGATCAAGTAAATCTTTTCTTCAATGGCTTTTTCATTAACCAGAGTAAACCGAGTTCTTATTCAACCATGTGAACCGACTCCATCTGTAGTGTTGGATCTGTCCTTAATCGATAATATTCCTGTCCTACGATGTTTCACTAGAACTATATATGTGTTTACACATGGACCTGATGCAGCTAGAGTCATACGAGAGGCATTGGCTAAAGCACTTGTCTCTTACTATCCTTTGTCTGGTAGATTGAAAGAGTTAAACCAAGGTAAAATTCAGATCGATTGTACCGGGAAAACCGGAATTTGGTTCGTTGATGCCGTTACGGATGTTACTCTAGAGAGTGTTGGTTATTTCGACAATCTAATGGAAATACCTTACGATGATCTCCTTACTGATCAAATCCCTAAAGATGATGATGCAGAACTGCTTGTCCAAATGCAGGTAAGTTTTAATTAATTCTCAAACTAAGAACAAATCTCCAATCCGTATTTCGTAATTGAACCGGTTGATTTGACAATTAATCCCGGTTTGCATCATGAACGGGGTTTTTCAGAATCCGGTACAATGGCGTAGTGAAAAACAGTTATAAATTAAACCGGTTAGCTTGTATCCGATCCGACTAAGTTAAACTGAACCGGATTTCCCAATTTTGCAGGTGACCCAATTCTCATGCGGCGGTTTCGTAATGGGCCTTAGATTTTGCCACGCCATTTGCGACGGCCTTGGAGCGGTCCAATTCCTCACCGCCGTCGGGGAAATAGCCTGCGGCCAGACGAATCTCGGTGTCTGAGCTCTGAGTGTTAACAAGTTGTATAAGCGATCACAGTTCATATATCAAAGTGTATGCTTGTAAAGATTCAAAAAGGCAGAAACTTGCCGTTGACCCGAGAATCGTTGCACCTTTATCTAGCCATAAGGTGAGGTGACTGATGAGGTCGAAACTCCCGGTAAGCCACTGACCAGCAGGAACAAAAAGCTTGGCACCGCCTTTGTCAGAGAAAGAATTGAGGTAGAACAAAGCATTCTGAAAGGCTTTAGTATTTAGAGTCACACCATCTCCAACCGCTCCAAACTCTGTAATCGATACACTGTGAGGCCGGTGAAGACTCGCTAAACTGGAATATTCACAATGCAGGCTTCCTCCAACACTACTACACCAAGCACCATAGAAGGCATGTACCAGGAGCACATACAAGAGCTGCAAAAACCAACATTTCCCAAAGCTTTTATGAAACTCTGATAACAACACACATAAACACTGGAAGAAGCACAGTTAGACGAGAGCCACATTTCATCTCTAAAACTTAGCAATGAGCAAAATAAAGAAGAAAAGTGAAATCTTAAACAGTGTGAACATTTGTTTTTAGAAAAATCCTCCACCTATTGTAGAACATTGTGATCCTATGATATTCTCTCAAGTCTCAAGCTTTATGAAACTCACACATTAAATTCACTGGAAGAAGCACAGTTAGGTGAGAGGCACATTTCACCTCTATAAGCTAACAAACATCACAAATGACCATAAAAAAAGCTAACAAACATCATAAATCAGGAAGAAAGATAAAATCTTGAACAGTGAATCCTAGGAAAATTATTGTCAACCTTAAACCAGATTTCAGATCTTAAAGACAAGGATATAGATGACCAGATTTGAGAGACAGAGCATTGGAAGTGACTAAGTTATGTCCAAAGAAAAAGAAGAGGAAAATGTAAAAGACTTACAAGGAAAGATCTCTTCATATGAAAAGAAGATCTGTGATCTCCTCCAGGAAACCTAAATTAAAAATCTTGACAACAACAACAACAACAATCTGAGATATCTTTAGCTGCTTCGAGTCCTTCTCTCTCTCTCTCTCACAGTCAGTAAAAATCAAAACTTTGAATCAGAAAAATTCTCTCTCATGGATGTGGCAAGTTGCAAAGAGTGATAGATGGGTCAGTGGTGAGAGGAAACTGGGGAACCCACAATGGACATAAAAATCATTGAAAGAGACCGTTTCTGCCCCCGCCAAAATTCAACCAGTAGGTCCATCTTCTACCTTCTCCGTACCCATCATCGCCAATTCGCCATTACCATTTTTAATATCCTTCTCGTACGATAATGGCGAAACCAAGAAAGAGGAAATCTAATTTAGAGACTTTATTAAAGCATAATTAAAGAAAGAAGATTAAGAAGAAGAAGAACATTCGATGATATCTAAGATGTCTGGAGATACCTTATTTGATGTTCTGTTACAAAGAGACAAAGATGGTCACTGAGAGAAACCCAGAGAAAGAGAAAAGGAGAAAAAGAGAGTGAGAGAAACCAGTCTGTATCTAAGCAGCATGGAAGCGTGACGAAAGCTCCGATTCTCGCTTCGGAAGCGGAAGCGGGAGCGGGAGCGCTCGGAATCGTTCGGAAGCGCTATGGAATCGCGATTCTCAAAAAGGTGAATTTGGAAGCTCACGGGAAACGCATGATTCCGATTTGGAACCGCACAAAAAGAGAATGGAAGCGTCGAATGATTAATTTGAATATGGATATGTGTTGATTGATGCGGTCTGCGTTTACAAACCCTTCGTGGTGTATCGAAGAAGAAGAAGATGAAGTCTATGGGCTGGACGTTTTTGTTTTTGGGCCTGTGGTAGTGAGAAGGCCCATCAATGTGTAAGTGTGTTTTGTCTACTTTGTCGATGTTTTTTTAGAGTTCCAAAGCAGGTGAATGAGTGTCCTAGGGTGGCTGTAGTGTGTAGTAGGCTATTGACTATTGAGTACGTGTGGTACTTCCTGAATAAAGAGAGAGAGATTGTATCAAAAAAAAATTATGTATCTTTGCAATATTGGGTTACTTTTATCTTTGCAATATTTATATTATGTATTTGGATAGTTGTTTACAAATACAGATATAAATATATATATATATATATATATATATACGCTTCCAATCCGTATCCGCTTCCTATATTTTTAAAAAAATTCGCTTCTGCGTTTTCGAACGCTTCCGCTTCCACGTACCCGCTTCCGATTCCATGCAGCTTAGGTCTGTATTATATGAACAACACTTATCAATCAGTTTTTTTTTTTTTTTTTTTTTTTTTGAAGGAATCAGCGTATTTCATGTGATCCGAACTAAAAGAATTTTATAATTAAAGGAGAAAGAGAAAATTGACCTTCAAATTCTTCTTACATCGAAGATTGATTGATTCTATTGATGCAAAAAATGGGAGTTTTGAAAAGCTCTGTAATTCTTTCTTTAACAAAAAAAAAAAAAGCTCTGTAATTCTTTCTTTTTTTTACACACTTAACACACGAGACGAAACGCTGTCGTTTTAATTGGAAGAAGATAACGGATCACGTGACACGTGGGCGTTGGTCTCGTAAGTCGTAACGAAGTGAGAGTTGACTGACTCTGCTAATTATACGTTTTCATAATTTCAGTTTAGTTAAAAAAAAGAAAGGGAAAAATCGCAGTGAATAAATCAAGAAGAAGTAAACTTACATACAATTAAAAGAAAAGAGGATTTTTAGTATATATTCTCTACTAGTGTAATGGACACCACTGGAGAGCTAGAATTGGTGAATTAAATGGATTTTATGAAATTATATTCCGAAATTAGGGAGAAGAATTAATAAGAGAGTAGAGACATAGTAATGTGACAGACTTCTTGTTGTCTATAATAAAACATACAACATCCATAATTACTATACTTAATTACCTCCTTTAATTATTCAGCAAACATACCATCATGGACCGGATTATCAGGTCAAAATACCCTATATAAACAATAATTTCAAATATACAGTATTGACTAAAATGATCAAAATTTCTGTAAAAACAGAGCTTTATGGTGAAATGCAGAGATAATAAAAGTTTATTGAATATCATCAGTATCAATCAATAGTCAATAAATCAAGTCTACGCCTCAGAAACAAAACTAAACCGAAAACGAAACCAAGTCTAAACCAAAGTAAAAAAGTCTAAACCAAAGTAAAAAAGAGAAACACAAGAAGAAGCAATTTTCATCAACTTAGTAACTCCTGCCCCCAATTAGTCCACTTCTTTGGAATTTTCCTTAATCTTAATGACATTTGGGAATCGGGGTTCTCTGCCGTTAAAAAATAGTAAACCAGGTCGATTTTCGGTTTACGTACATTGGTCTGAAATTTATACGGGAACAAAACCGATTTCAAACAATATCTTCGATTAACTTCTCCCAAAAACTGTTAGTCAAGTGATGAAGGCTTATCTAATAAACCAATTTAGGAAATGAAGAAGACAACTCTTTATAATTCTTAGCGTAATCACAGTCAAAATAACTCAAATTGGTCAAAATATCAGATCAAAGCACAATGCACTTGAGAGAGTCTTTACAAGACAAAAGTAAATTTTCATGAATTGAATCAAAACATGATGAACACTTAGTAACTCCTGCCCCAATAGGTCCATTTCTTGGCAGGCTTTCCTGAAGCAAAGCAGAGAGTGCCTGCATCGAAAACAATGAAGCTTCTGTGTCAATGCATGGACTAAATTTATGAGCAAAATTTCTCAAAACAGATAATAAATTTAAAAGGGTCTCTGACCTTCAGGGAGTTCTGGCTGATCAAATGGAGAACAAAGGGTTTTAGCTGCTCCAGTTTCACCTTTAGTACGTGCCTTAACATCTCTCTCCACTTCCTACAAAGAATTTCATTTTAAGGAACTTATAATTGCTATCTTCTCGAGTTTTGATTCATTTTGAGGTTTACTATATAAGCATATATCGGGTTGTGATATAGCTTAAGAGAATTGAGAGAGATTAAGAAGAACTTTAGTTTGAGTTAGTTCTAAAGTTAATAAAGAAGGTGTTTTCTTAAGCGTGTTCTTAACTTCTTATTCATATTATTCAATTCTAGATTTGGTATCAGAGCCATCTAGCTTTGTTTCTAAACGTGTGAGATATGAGTGAATTGGCCACGACGAGTAACAAACCAACGGAGGGAGGACCTTCATCTATAAAATGTCCGATGTTAACAACTTCCAACTATACAGTTTGGGTCATGAGGATGAAGGCAGCCCTCCGAGTCCATAAGGTGTGGGAAACAATCGATCCCGGTTCCAACGATGTAGAGAAGAATGATATGGCCCGTGCTCTATTGTTCCAATCTATACCAGAGTCGATGATCCTACAAGTTGGAGAACATGAAACTGCAAAAGGTGTCTGGGATGGCATAAAAGCCAGAAACCTTGGTGCTGAACGAGTGAAAGAAGCAAGATTACAGACTCTTATGAATGAGTTTGATAGGCTGAAGATGAAAGAAAGTGACACAATTGATGACTTTGCAGGGAGAATCTCTGAGATTTCTACAAAAGCAGCATCCTTAGGGGAAAATATTGAAGAAACAAAGGTTGTTAAGAAGTTTCTCAAGAGCTTACTAGGAAGAAATACATCCATATAATCGCAGCCCTAGAGCAAGTTCTTGATCTCAAGAAAACAACCTTCGAAGATATTGTAGGAAGACTCAAAACATACGAAGATAGAGTTTGCGATGAAGAAGACTCACAGGAAGATCAAAGCAAACTCATGTATGTCAGCTCAGAGTCACAAGATGGAGGCAGAGGAAGAGGCCGCGGTCGTTTTGGAAGAGGCCGAGGCAGATTTGGTTACCAATCCAGAGAATATGGATATCAACAGAAAGAGTTTGTTCAAAGAGACAAGCCCAAAGTGACTTGTTACCGATGTGACAAAACAGGGCATTATGCTTCTAATTGTTCGGATAGGCTTTTAAAATTGATCAAGCTTCAAGAGACACAAGAGAAAGAGGAAGATGATACTGAAGACGCAGAATCTCTTATGATGCACGAAGTAGTATACTTGAATGAGAACAATGTGATGCCTAAAAACTTTGAAGTGTGTTCTGAAAAAACTTGATATCTTGACAATGGGGCGAGCAATCACATGACAGGACAGCGTGCTTGGTTTTACAAGATGAATGAGATGGTCACGGGTAGAGTAAGATTCGGAGACGATTCGTGTATTGACATAAAAGGAAAGGGCTCGATACTCTTCTTGACTAAAACTGGTGAAAGAAAAATCCTAGAAGATGTGTATTACATACCCGATCTCAAAAGTAATATCATAAGCCTAGGACAAGCCACTGAGTCAGGGTGTGACATTCGGATGAAAGAAGAGTATCTAACCCTACATGACCGAGATGGAAATTTGCTAGTAAGAGCAACAAGATCAAGAAATCGATTGTACAAGGTAATTTTAGAAGTTGAAGAAACTAACTGCTTACAGCTTGTAACATCAAGCGACTCAACTATATGGCATGCTCGTCTTGGACACATCAATCTTGAGACACTTAAAACAATGGTTGCAAAAGAGATGGTTAAAGGAATACCAACTGCTCCAAAAGAAAAAGAAACATGCCCATCTTGCTTACTTGGAAAACAAACAAGGAGGACGTTTCCAAAAGCAACTGTGTATCGGGCATCACACATTCTTGAGTTGGTGCATGGTGATCTCTGCGGTCCTATATCACCCTCTACGGCTGCTAGAAAGAGGTACGTATTCGTGTTGATAGATGATCATTCTCGCTACATGCGGTCAATTTTGTTACAAGAGAAAGGAGAAGCATTTGAGAAGTTTAAGAATTTCAAGAAAAGAGTTGAGCAAGAGAGTGGTGAAAAAATCAAAACATTGAGAACAGACAGAGGAGGTGAATTTTTATCTCATGAATTTCAAGATTTTTGTGAAAAAGAAAGAATCAACAGGCATTTAACCGCACCATATAGCCCTCAACAAAATGGAGTGGTTGAAAGAAGAAATAAGACTTTGCTAGAGATGACTAGAAGCATTCTGAAACATATGAGTTTGCCTAATTATTTATGGGGAGAAGCTGTCAGGCACTCAACATATCTAATAAACCGAGTAGGAACTAGAGCCTTAGTTTACCAAACTCCATATGAAGCATTCAAGAACAAGAAGCCAAACTTAGAGCATGTGAGAGTATTCGGATGTGTTAGCTATGCCAAAGTTGATGGACCACATTTACGAAAACTTGATGATAGATCGAGAGTTCTCGTACATCTCGGGACAGAACCTGGCTCAAAGGCATACAGACTACTTGATCCAACCACTCGGAAAATCACAGTAAGCAGAGACGTCATCTTCGATGAAAGCAAAAGTTGGAAGTGGAAAGACTCCGAGAAAACTAGTCAAGAAACAGGAACTTTTATATTCAGTTTTGGAGAGTTTGGTAATCATGGAATTGATGATAATGGAGCTAATCAAGAAACAGAGGAAAACAGAGATGTTGAGAACGGATCCGACAGAGAGGAAGCAGAAGGAGCTGACGAATCCGAGACTGACAATGCTGAAACTGAGCAGCCACAACCTCCACCGTTGCTAAGAAGGTCTGGGAGACAAGTTACAAGGCCAACCTATCTAAGTGACTATGTATTACTCGCAGAAATAGAAGGAGAACAGCTTCTACTTATGTTGAATGAAGAACCATGTGATTTCAGAGAAGCAAACAAATCGCAAGAGTGGAGAAATACGTGTGAAGAGGAGATCATGTCTATAACAAAGAACAAAACTTGGAGTCTTGTTGATCTCCCTGTTGGAAGTAAACCCATTGGTCTTAAGTGGGTTTTTAAACTAAAACGTAACTCATATGGGAGCATAAACAAACACAAGGCAAGATTAGTAGCAAAAGGATACGTGCAAAAACATGGAGTTGATTTCGATGAAGTCTTCGCCTCTGTAGCTCGAATTGAATCAATCCGTCTTATCATTGCCTTAGCAGCCTCGAACGGGTGGGAAATACACCACTTAGACGTGAAAACCGCCTTCCTTCACGGAGAACTGAAAGAAGATGTTTATGTTACTCAACCAGAGGGTTTTGTAACCAAAGGAAGAGAGGAAGAGGTCTATAAACTACACAAGGCTCTTTATGGCTTGAGACAAGCACCAAGGGCATGGAACACCAAACTCAACAAGATCTTGAGAGATTTGAACTTTGAAAAATGTTCTAAAGAACCCTCCCTTTACAGAAAACAAGAGAAGGATACTCTCCTCATTGTAGCGGTATATGTTGATGACCTATTAGTCACCGGCTCCAGCTTAGATTTGATAAATGCTTTCAAGAAAGAGATGTCGGGAAAATTTGAAATGAGTGACTTGGGTAAGCTTACCTACTATCTTGGTATTGAAGTCTTTCAAGGAGAAGGTGGAATAGTGTTGAAACAAGAAAGATATGAAAGGAAGATTTTGGAAGAGGCTGGAATGAGTGAATGTAATGCGATTCAAACACCAATGACAGCGGGTTTAGAACTTTCTAAGGCACAAGAAGAAAAACAGGTCAATGAACTAGATTACAGAAGAAATATTGGGTGCCTTAGGTACCTACTACATACACGACCTGATCTCTCTTTTAGTGTTGGAATATTAAGCAGATACTTACAAGAGCCAAGAGAGTCACACGGGACTGCGTTGAGACAAATTCTGAGGTATATCCGAGGCACTCTTGAACATGGTCTCTGTTTTAAACAAGGAACAGAGTTGGGACTAGTTGGTTACAGCGACAATAGTCATAGTGTTGACGTCGACGATGGGAAAAGTACCGCAGGACATGTGTTTTACCTTAATGAATGTCCGATCACGTGGTGCTCTCAAAAACAACAAGTTGTGGCACTATCTTCTTGTGAAGCTGAGTTCATGGCGGCAACGGAGGCAGCTAAGCAAGCGATTTGGCTTCAAGAATTGCTAGCCGAGATCATTGGTACAATGTGTGAAAAGGTAACCATACGAGTAGACAACAAGTCAGCGATTGCATTGACCAAGAATCCGGTGTTTCACGGAAGAAGCAAACACATTCACCGGAAGTACCATTTTATACGAGAATGTGTTGAAAATGAGCAAATTGAAGTTGAGCACGTGCCAGGTGAAAAACAGAAGGCGGACATATTGACAAAGGCTTTGGGAAGAAACAAGTTTAAAGAGATGAGAGATCTCATTGGTGTTCAAGACGTGAAGAAGCTTGAGCTCAAGCTTAAGGGGGAGATTGTTGGTTTAAGCTTGAGAAGTAAACCGACAATTACTTGAACCGCAAGGCAACGGTTTAATGAAGTGATAAGGCTAGATCTTTTAGGAGTTATCTATAAGATTTAATGTAATCCTAGTCGAGTTATGATTAGGGTTTTGAGGTTTACTATATAAGCATATATCGGGTTGTGATATAGCTTAAGAGAATTGAGAGAGATTAAGAAAAACTTTAGTTTGAGTTAGTTCTAAAGTTAATAAAGAAGGTGTTTTCTTAAGCGTGTTCTTAACTTCTTATTCATATTATTCAATTCTAGAAGAACTTGGTTTCAGACATCAAAACCCCAATGTTTCTTCTCAACACAGCATATGACTCTTGGCAGGTAATAATCATGTCTTTCATATAGCTCATTGCTTCATCCTTCCACAGTGTTGATTCTTGAGAAACATATGTATGACCGTTAATTACATCACTAATCAACCATATTTTTATCCGTTAACGCGGGATCGGCTGAAGATTAAAAAAAAATCACGAAATTACCCTTCTAAAAGGCCACACTGGCCTCGCACACAGGAGCGTAGTTTAGCAACTTCAAAATTATTAGCCCACTAAATAGTGACACCTATAATTTCGCTTTAACAAGCCAAATTGGAGCTGATTTGCTAAATAATTTAAAGTTTAGCATTGACTCAGGATATACAAAACCATGTTCATCGCAATTAAATCGAATCCATGAAATCAAGGGTTGTTACTAATTTATCTAGCGGCTAAAAAGCATACGTTAACCTATATAGACCATAAAGCTGGACTGAAAACGGATATGGATATCAACATCAAAATCAATAGGTAACATGCAAAATCACGTGACATGCTATAACTGTCCCAGACCAGGATCAGTTAAGGCTTTAAGCCATAACAAGTTAACAACGTAACGTCTCTCTCTCTATATATTGTGTAGATAAACATGTATATGTCATGTGTATGGAATTGGATTGCCTCAGGTGTATTGTGTGGTGTGCATAGATAAAACAACATATCATTATCGTAATTAATATTACACATTTACTATAGCCTATAGGCAATTAGGCATGGACCGTCCTTCTTGTCCCGTTTGTGTCTTTTACACTTTTCTTTTTTAGTTTCTCACTTCTTGTGTGGATCCGTTCTCACTTTTTTAAATTGTTATTAGCTTTTTCATAATCAACTAATATTTTACTACTTGACTTTCCCATTTTCAATTGTTTTTTAAAAAATCATGAAAAGATATCATTGTGTGTCAAGTGTGTAATTTATATTGGGTCATCTTGTGGCCGGCCCATAAGACTTTTGTTTATCCTTAAGTACTATTGTTTTTTAATATATTTTTATAAATTTGGTCGCTTTCTAATTTTTTTATAAGATCTTTTTTTTTTTTTTTATAAGATCATAATACTGATTTAAGAAGAAGTTTAGATACTTAATTATTTGATGGTGGATTTGTTGTTAAAACAGCCGGAGCGATGCTGGCCGTTGGATATTTTGACCAGTCTCGTCCTGAAAGTCAAAGCTTAGTCTCTCACTTATGGGCCGGGCCTAAATCTTAAAGCGTATTTGTCGAGTTAATATTACACTGTGTAAAAAACGTCACACAGTGCTAAAGCGCATAATTAAAACGGCACAGCATGTCGATTGGAGAACATCTTTGGGACTTGGCTTTCTCTCCGACGATCTCCGTATAAAACTTAGTGCGGCGGGAAATTGACTTTCAAATTCGCAGGATTCTGTCGAAATTCTTGCATAGTTGCGAGTCTACAAGTTTCTTCTTCCTCATCGCTGTTGATTTTACCCGGAAATGGATTCGGAAGCTGTGAAGGAGTTTATACGAAGGGAAGTTTCAGATTGGGACGATGAGGTGGTGGCGACGGCTAGATTCAAGGCGTTTAGTGGGCAGAGATCCAATTGGGAACTTAAATTTCAGTTTTGGCGTGATTTGATCCTCAAGGTTTTGCGTCAGTTTGGGTTGTTCATCATTGATCCTGTTCAGGTCTGATCAATTGCTTTTGATTCTAGATGAAATTAGTACAAAGAACTGATTATGTATTGTTGTGTTGGTCTTCGTGTTTCTAAAGGTGAAGAAGGCGTGGTTTAATCGAGGAGGAATAACGCCTTTATGCATTGATCATGTTCTGGTGAGTTTCTTCTGCATTTAGTGGCCAAAGAGGATTTGTCTTCTTAATATTGTTTTCTACCTTTTGTTGTCAGTTATTGATGCATAGTGAAGGTGATGTTGTGCGGATTAGCGATATTGATGATCCGGGTAGTGGTCGTATTTCTCGTTTATTGAGGACAGTGAGGAACTTGATGGTTCAACAGTCAGTGAAGCCGGAAGAGATTCTGGAAAATAAACTTGTTATTGTCCCACTCTTGAAGGTGCTTCTTGTTTGTTCTCACTTTTAACCGTCTATTTAAAAGTTCGGTCTGGAATAACGATATGTAGGTTTGGTAAGTGTCTAGAGTTTTGATTAGATTACATGGATTATAATGTGTGAATGTGTCTTGTAATTTTGAAAAAACTGGGTACCTTGAGCTAACTACATTAGTCTTGCTTTGTATAGCTCTTTTGCTAATAGGTGAAGAATTCTCAGTTTATTGTATAAGTATGTGGCTGATAGAAATAAGTCTATGTTATTTCTAGGAGAAGGCTGCTGACGTGGTTAATATATTATCTGAGGGACACTGGACTTCTACTTGTGTTGTCACGCTCAAGAAGTTTCGGAATTTGTGCAACGGCTCGAATGAGGCATCTGCTGTTTTGAGTCACTTGTCAGGGTGTGGAAAAGCGCATAAAATCTCTATCAATCGGGGAGAACTGATCGAGGTCGGTTATTTATTCATATTTTTTGGTCTTATACAGCTGTCTGATGGAGAATATGTTAGTATATCTGGTCAGCAAGGCATGTAAAAACGCACTCAAAATTCCAGTGAAAATAAACGAAAGAGGCCAATTTGACAAATTTAGAAAGTTAGACTCAGTTCAGGCTAAGACTTATGCTTAGTGTCCAAATTCAACATACTTGTGCTTTTCAGGGCATTAAAGTGTCCTTTTCACAAGCAGCACTTCCCAGTATCTCAACTTTAGACTGTGATATTCTGCACTTGCTAAGGACTACAGAAAAGCTCCAAGATCAACTTGAAGTGATGGACCAACGTTGTGAAAAGTAACACCTTCTGATTTCTTGAAATGTATCGAAATGATTTAATTTTCTCGTACATTGATCATAGCCTTGGAATACATAATTTGGCTTCACTTTTTCGTAAATGGTTAAATAGATGGACTTCAAGTGTTTTTAACTTTTCTTTTCCCTTTTGCAGGTCAAAGAAATCAGCGCTGGCATCTCTAAAGTCTGGACACAGGAAAGTTGCTCTACGGCATGCAAGGGAATTGAAGTTGGCGACTGAGAGCAGAGAAAAATGCACGTCACTTCTGAACAGAGTAGAAGAAGTGTTGAACACTATAGCGGATTCTGAATCTACGAAAATGGTACTGCAAACACTGAGAAACCCCATAGGTCGAACCTATCATGTTTGGTTTATGTAATAGTATCAATTATGGATTTTAGAAATATCTCTGTGTGTTTGGCAGGTCTCAGAAGCAATCAAAACTGGAGCTAGGGTTATGAAGGACATCAAGATCAGTGCAGATGATGTTCATGACTATTTAGAAGAACTTGAGGAAACTATTGAATCACAGAAGCAAGTCGAAAAAGCTCTCGGTGAGTGGTGTTTTGTCGTTTAAACATACAGACACGATTACTTCATCAACTTTTATGTTTACCTTGAATTTTTTCTGTTAATGCGGCAGAATCAGCTCCATATCCAGATACTGATGATGAAAATATCGAAGACGAATTACTGGAATTAGAGATGGACCTTGAAAGTGAAAGTTCTCAGGTCCTACCAGCGAATTTAGATACTGCAGATTCACTGACTGAGATGTTCTCAGAGCTTAAACTTGGCAAGACGAAACAAACATTGGAGCCAGCTCGGATGAAAGATAGCGGAAAAAAGATTCTTGAAGCAGCATAGCTGAACAATGCTTCTTCATTGTGGTGCGATCTCTTCTCTTCCTGTTGTACTTAAGAGAAGAAATACACTCAGTATCATATAAATAGAATAGAACCGGGTAAAGTGAGTTGAGTATTTGTATGCTATGCCTCTTGTTCGGATTCTAGAAACAATAGCTTCAATCCATTGTATAAAGTCGAATGATGATTTTGATCACTCCGATAGTGGTCGATAATTTATTAATGTTTCTAACATGAAGTCTTTGTCAACCGAAGGAAACTAGTACTCGTGATTATTATTGTTATTATTATAGCTCCTTTCCTATATCTATATGTTACATGAACTAGAAAAGCCGGTACTAATAAAGAGAACCTTGAGGAGATACTTCCATCGTAGTTGTTCTGTTGTTGTAGTGCTTTTGTGGATTTGTATGGTCCACCTTGCGATGGCTCTAGCCTCTAGTGTTCTCTACTTACTTGAGAAGAAAAAGACCGTGAATCAGCAGGTAACAATCATCACTGTTTATTTCATCTGCTCACGGGTTTCCAGATTTTTACCAGGGAGAATTCCTTCATCTGTTAATGTTCCTTGATTTCTTGTGTAAGGAGATGCACCATCTAAATTTGACAAAGAGGTGGGGTTTGGTATTTGGTTAGGGAAAGCCGCGCACGATGGAGGGACAGATTGTGGGGAACAATCTTCCGTTGGAGTGAAAGGTGCAGAGTTTTGCATTTGCATTAGTCCAGGATGGTTAAGAAACCTTAGCATATCTGCTGAATCATTAATCCCAGGCAAGCCAGCTCCTAGGACATGTGCAGGCAGAAACTGTTGTGCGCCCATTTGCATTCCCATACCCATTGCTAGATCCATCTGAGAGTAATGCAGCCCCAAAGGTAACATCATTGATGGTGTAACAAATCTGTTACCCATCGTCATCATCTACCATCCAAAATTTTGTACCAGGTTAGAACAAAGGAACTTTAGATTGAATCTGTTTTTGATACGAAGAAGTGTTGGAAGAATTTGTTTATTATACCTGAACTTGAAGTTGAAGGTTTTTCATATAATTGATTGCTTCATCCAACATTGATTCGTTGTCATCCTATGAACAATAGAGTAGTAAAGGTAATGTAAGTAATGGTAGTATCTCCAGCAGGAAGCTTTTGATCTCATTTGAAATAAACTAAAAAGTTGGTTCTTTTAGCAAACCTCGTGAGAATTAGGTAGTAGATCCTGCAAAGTACGCATTTTCTTGTTGACGTCTCTTCTTTGCTTCTGTTTTGCAATATATTACCATATACCGATGTATTAGATTCAGTTTCTACTCCTTTACTTTGTAGCTTAATGAGATTACTTACTCTTTCAGGTGAATTATAAGCTTCTGCATTTCGTTTTCTTTTGACCAAAGCTTTTCTTGTTCTTGCAGGAACTTGTGGCCTCGCATCATCTGACTCGTCATCTAGACTCTGCGTTGAGACAAAAACTGTCTTCAGACCAAAGAACCTCGCAGTAAACCAAACCAATAAAATCCGTGAATCAATTCTCTTACGCTGCTTAGATACATCGATCCTTCACTGTCTTCAGTGAAACCTGCGGAGGAAGTGTTAAATCCCGATTCAACCATCCTTTTAGCAACCACAGATTGCTCATCAGGAGGTATAAACTTGATCTTCTTTCGGTTATCATAATCAACCATCATCCTCTTTGATGAAGAAGCTTTCAAAGTCTCAATCAAAGTGGAATCGTCAACATGTTTATTGCTTTCCAACATGTTTGTTTCATGAGCAGGAACAACATGACTTTGTGGAACAACCTGTGTGTCTCCGAGATTCTTGTTGGCACCACCACCACCACCACCATGGATGATACTCTTCATGAAGTCCTCGTTATACTCGGCCTCATACAAATCCATGATCGATTTGGTACGTTGATTCTGCAGAGGAACGTTGGATCTTTGGCCCTTTGCAAGAATCTGGCCATTCTCAAACACAAGCTCCATATACTCTTGATCGTTTAACCTGCAACAATAATCGGTTGGTAAGAAGGAAGAACATCATCATCTCTATAGATACATATATACGTGTGTGTGTGAATCAAGAATCAAAAACTTAATTCGGTCTGAAGGTGGATGATGGGGAAGTCATATTTTGTAGTCTTGTTGAATGATCGAAAAGGTTTTTCTTTAATGAATGTAAGTGAAAGCTAATCTTTCTTTTGTTGATCAACTTCAGACTCTTATATTTCGCTTTTGTTTATTTTTCCTTTTTTTTTTTTTTAGTATTATCACTTTTTCAACTCTTTCTCAGGTGCAATGAATTTCTGAGTACAGTACCACTATTCATACTTCTGTTTCGAACTAAGTCGAATCTTAGCATCTTTGGTTTTTTTTTTCTTTTTTTTTTTTGTCATCTGTTAGTATATTTATATTGAAGATGTAACCAAAGAATTACAAACTCAAAAGCTGCAACTTGAGACAAACCAACGAACCAAAAAAATACTAAGCAGGCCTTTATAGAAACAGGCCTTTACAAAAAACCTTCCAATACTAGGAACCCGACTGCTGCACAAAAAGCCCAAAACAGAGGACTAGACTCTCTCATCAAAAAACACAGAAGATAACCAAATCGGATGACTAACTGCAACATACGACTGTATCGGTTTTTTTTCTTTGATACTACTTTTTATTTATAAATTATAAAAGATTTATTTCAATGCAATGGATGTCGGTTCCAAAAACGAAATCACATAATAAAATACAAATAGAAAGGAGTTACAAAAAATAAAATTATACAGACATCAGTCAGAATATCAGATTGCCACAACATAGGCAAATATCTCTTGTAAACATCACAAACCGATAAAACATAAATAATTTCAACACAAATAATATAGAACGACAAAAAAAAGTGTTGAGGAGGAGACAGAGAGAGAGAACGGGCCAAAAAGCCCACGTGGTTGTGGGAAGAAAATTCACAGTACAAGGACAATGAGAAATGGGCCGGGTCCACCAAAAAATATTGATAGGACCCACAAGGTGTTTTGGCAGCATTCTCTTCAAAGGAAAAAGTAGAACAAGTAATAAAAGAGGTAGATAAAAGAGAGCGTGAAGTTCACGTGAAAGCCACGTGATTCTTTGTAGTTCTTTTTTATTGTCCCCTTTTGCATTGTATTTTTACACTTGTCCTCACTTCTCTTCCATGACAAAATGACTCGCTAGCTCATGCCTCATGCATCCTTTTTTTTTTTTTTATACTATGATCTTTGGTGATCCCAGATTCCGACCAATATAACTTAGCCGGTAACACAAAATGATTCTGACTAATTACAGAGATAAACTAGTTCGACCGTGAATATCAGCCTCGAGGTAAAAGTTGGAGGGTCAAATTCAAAGAAAAAGTTTTCGGTGTTTTGATATTGCCAGCATGCAGGGATATATCACTATAATACTATTTAAATGTTTCAATACTAAGACTGTAACATAGTCGTTTGATATATTAAACCAAGTAAAATAACATTGTAAAACATTTTGATCTAACATATACACATACAAACTGTTTGGACCTAGATGTTATAAGGCTTTAACCTTGTCAATATGAAAAAAGAAAAGAATAAAAAGAAGAGAGAGCCTAAAACTATGTAATATGCATCGATACAAGGGCAAATCAAGTATGTCATTTGGAAGGGAAATGACGTCATGTAGAATCTTAATTAAAGGGAAACATAATTGTCACTCACCCACACGTATCATTATCATGTTTTAAGATTCGGTAATCATTATTATTAAAGAGAAATTAAAACCAAATCAACCACGGGTTAGCGCGTAATCTTAAACCCAAATAACAATTTAAATAAAATATAGTATCAATAGTTCTATTAAAAGGCACGAACGTAAAGCCTCAATAGTAACACGCACGTATCTTGCTTTATCGTATCGAGTTTCATGCATTCATATTCATTAATGTATTAAGCTTCAACAAACTTACTTATAGTATTAAATACATGAAAAGAACATCACTAATACCTCCACACTAGATTGTCCTCCTAGACTACTTTAGACTTTAGAGACCATATCTAAATCTTCCTCTATTTTGTAAACTTTGGATTTGATTCAAGAAAACATGTTTTCACACCGTTTTAAGTGGATATCAATACTAAACCCTTTCTTTTAATTTGCAGCGAGTCATTGTAAACACTTTTCATCGAAATTTAATCCAATAAGAGTATTGTTTCTAAATTTTAATTACACATTATTCTGGACCTTCAAAGTTTATGGACGACCTCAGCATTATAATTTTTTGCATAATTGACTTAAATCAAAGTACATAAAACTAACAAATACCAACTATATATCGAAATTAGTGATACTTTAATTTCCCCATGATATTTACACATTATCGTAAAACATGTGATATATATTCAATCATTTATTCATTATAATAACAGCAGAAATCTCCTTTATTGTAAAGTAAAAATGGGAGAAAGAATTTTTTAAGAACAAGAGCAAACATATTTCTTTATGATAAAATGAAATCACTAGGATAAAAAAACGGGAGTAGCTTTGAAGTCATTCATCACTCGTCAAACGGAAGATTAGAAGGTGGATCACTGCATTTTTGATTTATGGTTTGTATATACGAGTTTATGATAAAGACGGTTATCTTATCGTTAAATCGCTATATTTTGTTTGGTAAATGGTTTCGAACCCAAAAATATATATAGTGGTGGTCAGAAACCTCAATCTAATAGTATATTTATTTATTGAGATATAATAATTGGTCTTGCATGTTGGTATGGTCAACTTTGTGACTCGAAAAAAAAAAAGCCTAAAACGAGAAAATGGAATGAGTTGGCCAACAAGAGAGGCTACAAAAGAGTCAAGAGACATGCAATCATCCTGATTTGAAGCCAGCCCATGTTTTTACTGACAAGCAAACACATTGCAGTAAAGTCGAGTTATCATAATTTATGATAAACATAAAGTAAATTATGAGTGTATTTTTTCAAAAAGAGGCAAAACTCTCTTACAACTTAATGATTTGTAAAAGGACGAGACATTATCATTAAATCTTGAAACCAAAAAACTATGAGTGCCTTGAAATTCTGAGAGTCACTGTTTTCTTTTGAAATTATTTCTATATATGTACATTTGTTTATTTCTCTGAAATCTTAATTCTCCATTTTCTTATATTATTTTCATACTTTCTAGTTTAATTTGTTTAGGATTGACTCTTTTTTTCACGGCAATCCATCTTGTTGTTTTTTTCCGCTTTCAAAACATGTATACGTTGTATCGCATTCAAAGAAGATATTTGACCAAATACATGCAACATATTGGTTATCTAGAAACAAAAGAAGAGTAGGAGATATAAAAAAACAAAGGGGACAAAGAATGGTGTGGAGAAAAAAGTTTGAAGAAGAAAGAAAAAAAAGTGAGGAAATTGTGATGATAATGGTAGGGGTGGTGGGGAACATATCTCTTCTTTATCAGTTTCCCTTTTTTACTCTCTCTCTCAAAAATCATGTTTAGAGTTTCTTTTGGTTCAAGCTAAATCTTTTTTTTTTTTTCCTTCTTTCTAAAATTTAAAATCTGTTTGCTTCTTCAAACCAAACGGTATCTACGCAATAAATGTCGGTGATTCTGATAACGATAATGTTTGAATGTTTCGGGTTCAAAAGATTTGTATTAACTAGATGTGTATTTGTTTAATTTTGGCTTATTGATAAGGACACTTGATAAAAGAGTCAGGATCATGTCAAATTATGTATATATATAATATGAAAAACACTTTCAGACTTAAGAGTATTTGTAATCCGTTAAATTTAAGTTCTAAACACTTAATTAAAAACAAGAAATAACACTCTTTATGAAACACATGGAGTATATGATATGAAAAACACTACAACTAAAATTAGAGTCATAGTACTGTTTGTAATCCGTTAGATTTTGATTCTAAAAATCCCTATTTTAAAATAAGAAACAGTACATATAAACTAAAAGATGGATCTGAATATGGAGATATTGTTTGATTGTAAAAATAACTTTGGACAAAATCTTCCTATTATAAAAGAGAGAACAATTGAACAAAGAGTTCTAATCATATTGATTGGTAGGTCATGAAGAAGGTTAAGGAGTGATTGTAGAAGTGTAGAAGTGGAGGCGACAAAGTGAGGAGAGACACGTGGAAAAAGGCACGTGACGTGGGGAATGTGAAATGTTGTCGATAGTGTTTACTGTCTCGTGCTTGCAAAACTAATGTATGTTTTGGAGTGTGAGAATTGTGACGTATCCTCAGTCCTTAGTCCATAGGCGAAGCATCATCTCTCATTAGCTCCTCTCTTTAAGGTTACGCATTCATTACTCATGCTTCCCTTCTCTCATTTTCTTTCTTTTTCTATATATATTCCCCTCTATTTGTTTCTTTGCTTCTAATTTATTACATGTAACGTACAAAACCAAGAAACATGCACTTTTTCTGGTGACCGAAGACCGAAGTTTAATATATCAACCGAATTGACTATACCATATACATGTTTATATCTAGATCCAATGAATATACACAAATAGTATCTTGGTGCATCGAAGCATTTATTAAAGTCACTATTTTGAATACTAGCGACGGATAAGACACCGATCGATATGGTGTGTTTTGGTATCTGGCATGAAAGATAAACAATTTCTGATCACGATTTGTGGGAGATTAGCATCACTTGATTCACTTTGATTGTTACACATAAAAGGTTGGTAAGTTGGTTTAATATTGGAAAAATATTGTAGTGGTTGGACTTGACTATATAGATGCTTAATTATGATAAGATAGAGTAACAATCAAATAAATAGAGGAGTGTAACTAATAGCGACGTGGATTAGAATCATGGGAAGCTCAAACTCTTGTCATGCTTGGATACGATGGAGTCCACGTAGACTATTTTTTGTTTTCTGTCATAATTAAAGAACATTATTAGAGAGTTAATGACGTACATGAGACGTGTTTAGCAGTTGATAATTAATTTAATTTAACAGACATCTAGACATATTTTAATGCTAAACAAAAAACAAAACATTTTCTTAAAGTGTCTCGCGGTTATAAAAAACCCTTAATTATGGAAGTGTTGTTTGTCGAACCCACGAATGCATCAATGCGCGTCACGATAATCTCATGCATTGAACTTGAATTTATTAGGACTGATAATGAAGTAAACTATGGTTTTAAAATTTCTAATTGTACTTTTGTCTACGTTCATATAATTCCTTAAGAAAATATGTTCTTATCCGGTTTAGAACTATCTTGTCTACGTTCATATAATTCCTTAAATCTAAGCCTAACATTTGATTTTCTTAATTCGATATGCTATATATACGAAGCTAGATTAGTCAAACTTTTCTTTAACAAAAATAAATAAATTAGTCACACTTTCCTAATCATTTATAATCTCTTTAGCAAATAATTCATTTAATTAGATAACCAAATTAGTACTAATTAAAATCCAACCCTAATAGTTTTATAAGAAATCAAACAATCTTTTTGTTTTTGTTAAACGAAGAGTGAGTACTAGGAGTCGAGTATTTACATTGAAACAAACAAAATTAAATTAGAACACACCCAGCAAAAAAATCCGAGCACAAAGTCAAAACCAACACTTTGACCAAGTGTCTGCGTGACACGTGTATTTGTCTGCGTGACACGTGTATTTGTCTGCTACATGGACAACATCTTTAACAACACTGTCTCATCATTCCACCATCTGCATTTTATTTAATTTAAATATCAGAAAGACCATTTCAATATTACTTCTTCCTTTTAAGTTCTAACAACATATTATACATATTAAAAAAAAAAAAAAATTCTTCCTCTATATATATACACACACGTTCAAATCATTAATCACCTGTTTTAGATAAAATCATAGAGAGAGAGAGAATAGTAAAATAAAAAAATGGGAAGAGGGAGAAGCTCATCGTCTTCATCGATAGAGAGCAGCTGCAAAAGCAACCCATTTGGTGTGTCTTCGAGTAATACTCGGAACCTAAGCACGGACCTAAGGCTCGGGCTCAGCTTCGGATCATCTTCCGGACAATACTACAACGGTGGAGAAAACCATGAATATGATGGAGTGGGTGCGGCAGAGGAAATGATGATCATGGAAGAAGAAGATCAAAACGAGTGTAATAGTGTCGGAAGCTTCTACGTGAAAGTGAACATGGAAGGAGTTCCTATTGGAAGAAAGATCGATCTTTTATCTCTTAATGGATATCATGATTTGATCACAACTCTTGACTACATGTTCAATGCCTCAATCCTTTGTAAGTATCTACACACACTTAATTACATCATTGCATGTAGACTTAATACATCTCTTTGCATGTATATAGACCAAAACCTATTATATTATGTATCGTTAAGACCAAAACTAATGGCAATGAAAAATTTGTGAAAATAGGGGCTGAAGAAGAAGAGATGTGTAGTGAGAAGAGTCACGTGCTAACGTACGCAGACAAAGAAGGTGACTGGATGATGGTTGGAGATGTTCCTTGGGAGTAAGTACTTTTTTATTTTATTTTAGTTTATTAAAAAACTCTAATTAATTATATTGATAAATGACATAATTATGTGGAAATCTAATTACGGAGACTTAATTGATTATGTAGGATGTTCTTGTCTAGCGTGAGAAGACTAAAGATCTCAAGAGCTTATCACTACTGAATGTTTTTTTAAAAAGCAAAGGTGGAAGACTCTAGGATTGACCAATACAGTCAGTGGTGGAAAAAAAAAGTTGGTTTTGTCTGAATGTAAATCACTTGTTCGAGATTTTTATTCAAATTTTGTTTCTAGTTTAATTTATTACTAGATTTTACCCCGCGGTACACCGCGGGTCGATTTTTTTATAACTAAAATATTATTTAGCAAAATTTTAAGTTGTATTTGTTTTGTTAATATTGTTTATTTTGTTTAGTGTTTCTGATTTTATAATTAAATTTTGATTTTTAATTCTAAGATTTCATCCATAGTATATTGTTTAATATTAATATCGATCTAAACCCGTTGCACCATATAACCCCGTTCCGTAAAATTAAACATCATTTGTTATTTTTTTGGAATAATATTTTTATCCACTACGGGTCGCAGGTTCATGCGGATAAGCCCGTAGAGAGTTGTGGGTTTGCGTATCGACCCGCCAAAAGAAAAGCTATCTTTTGAAACCTTTTGTTTTATTTAGAGGTTTTGAGAAAGTATCCCTAAAATATAATTTTCATTATATGAAAAAAAAAAAGAAGTAGAAGAAATTGTAATATCAACATTCCCGATTTTTACATCACTTGTTACTATTAATTTTTTTTTTTTACAGATAAAAATCAGAAGTTAACTAAGTCGAGATTTTTAAAAAGATTGTGTAGAGATTTTTGGTAAATTGTTGAGAACATATTTGATTTCAAAATCTTTACTTAAATAGATAAAGAAAGATTTTGTAGAGACTTTTGCTAAATATATGAGAAATGAATTTCATTTAAAAATCTTTACTTAAATAAAACAAATCTAAATAATTAATGCTAATGGCATGCCATTGTAAATACTTATCAACTTCAGGATTTATTTGCTAATTGTGATCCAAAAATGTATATATAGATATTATGAGAAAATCGGTTGTAACTTGTAATGAGGCAATTTTTTTTCCAAAAAAAAGTTTTAGCTAATGCAGGTCCTTTTACGTTCAATTTTTGGTTAATTAGTTATTAATATAGTTTATATTCTAATATGAATTGTTTTGGTACAATACTGAAATAGGTTTATATTTGTATTTTAATTACACATAACTTTAATTTACTCAAATTTTAAGTTTCAATTGAGTTTTCTATTTTCTTTCGTTTGAGTATCAACTAAACAAAACTAGTTTAACCAAATCAAGATATACACTTAAGAGTTTTGGTCTAGTTATGGACTTTGAGATTGAAAAATAATTGTCAAAAAATTTCAAAAGACTGTCGTCGGAGATATTACACTTGTTCCGCTCACCAAAGCATTAAAAAGCCCATACAAGAAAATGGAAAAACAAAACGAAGGAAAAAAAAACTCTTAAGCCACTCTGATTATTGTCCTCACTGCACACAAATTTACAAGAAAACAACAAAAAATGAAAGAAAGCATCACTTTTGAAAAACGAAACCTCTAAGAGAAAATTTGTAAGGAGAAATCGAAGAGGTTTCTTCGCAATCAAGCAAACTGTTGTTTCCCCTTCCATGTTCAAAACTTCACAGTAACTTACCAAGAAAGTAACCATGGTGATCTACTTAAACCACTTGATATATCCAGATTATTTTCCGATAACCCAAAACAATCAGATTGATGTTCCGGGAATATACTCTCTTTCAAAGAATCACAAGTAATTTCCGGCGAAACCCACTGTGAATAACCTCTAACATTTGAGCATTCCCATGGAGATTTCTTCGAATTCTTCTTCACTCTAAGAGTAACATTAAGGAAACATATATTCTTAAACTCATCTCCTGCTATACCTTCAAGTAGACCCGCAACACCGATTCCATCACCATTTACATTCTCAAAGGTGATTTTCTCGATAGCTGGGAGTGCTTTCGGATCAAATTTTTCATCAGGATGTTCACCGTACTTACCCGTGAATCTAATCGCTTTCTTTACATTATCGAGCTTCACGTTCAAGATGTGAACGTTTCTAACATACCCGCCTCTTCCCGGAGAAGTCTTGATTCTGATTCCGGTATTTGAATTGAATAAATGTAAGTCTTTAATATATATTTCGGACACACCTCCTGACATTTCACTTCCGATTGCTATGCCTGAGCTTGAAGTAGTTTGACCTGTTAACCGATTGATCTTGATCTTGGAGCTCGGTCTTGCGTAGGATATTCCGTACTCATCCCATCCGCTTTTTATCGATACCAAATCATCTCCGGTAACTATGTAACAATCCTCTATGCAAACATTAGTTGATGAGTCTGCAAATAGAACAATTCTAATAAGGGAAATATCTGAAAATGACAATCCTCTATAGCACTTGTTTACACACTGATTTGCATCAATTCTCTTAGGGAAATTTGATCTTAGATTTGATAAGAAGTAGCCAGAAATCTCGACTCAACGAGTAAATTTTGCAATGAAACTCACCTGGATCAACTCCATCTGTATTTGGAGATTCAAGAGGAGCCAAAATTGTGAGATTCTTCACAACAACATCTCTGTTCAGACAAAAACTCCATATCAGAACATCGAAGAGAAAATTTGGCGAAATCAAAATCTAATCATGATAAGCTAGATGACCTGCAATAAACAGGATGAATGTTCCAAAACGGTGAATTCAAGAATGTGAGGTTGGAGATGATCAGACCAGTAGAGTTCATGAGCTCAACAAGATGAGGTCTTGTATAGTTTAGCTCTCCATTTCTAAACCAATCCCACCATACACTTCCTTGACCATCAATTGTCCCGTTCTCGCCTAAAATTTAAGTATCATCAGACAGCAGATCTAAGACTAGCATCATTGGTTCAAAACTAACCATTTCATATAAATGCTATACTAGTACCTGTTATGACTACATCTGTGAGATTTTGACCATATATAAGACTTCTGTGTCTTCTACCGGGCAATTCTCTTCCTCGTCCATATGATGGTAATGGATCAACCACAGGCCAATTCTCTGAGCTCTGAGTGTTAACAAGTTGTATAAGCGATCACAGTTCATATATCAAAGTGTATGCTTGTAAAGATTCAAAAAGGCAGAAACTTGCCGTTGACCCGAGAATCGTTGCACCTTTATCTAGCCATAAGGTGAGGTGACTGATGAGGTCGAAACTCCCGGTAAGCCACTGACCAGCAGGAACAAAAAGCTTGGCACCGCCTTTGTCAGAGAAAGAATTGAGGTAGAACAAAGCATTCTGAAAGGCTTTAGTATTTAGAGTCACACCATCTCCAACCGCTCCAAACTCTGTAATCGATACACTGTGAGGCCGGTGAAGACTCGCTAAACTGGAATATTCACAATGCAGGCTTCCTCCTACACTACACCAAGCACCATAGAAGGACTGTACCAGGAGCACATACAAGAGCTGCAAAAACCAACATTTCCCAAAGCTTTTATGAAACTCTGATAACAACACACATAAACACTGGAAGAAGCACAGTTAGACGAGAGCCACATTTCATCTCTAAAACTTAGCAATGAGCAAAATAAAGAAGAAAAGTGAAATCTTAAACAGTGTGAACATTTGTTTTTAGAAAAATCCTCCACCTATTGTAGAACATTGTGATCCTATGATATTCTCTCAAGTCTCAAGCTTTATGAAACTCACACATTAAATTCACTGGAAGAAGCACAGTTAGGTGAGAGGCACATTTCACCTCTATAAGCTAACAAACATCACAAATGACCATAAAAAAAGCTAACAAACATCATAAATCAGGAAGAAAGATAAAATCTTGAACAGTGAATCCTAGGAAAATTATTGTCAACCTTAAACCAGATTTCAGATCTTAAAGACAAGGATATAGATGACCAGATTTGAGAGACAGAGCATTGGAAGTGACTAAGTTATGTCCAAAGAAAAAGAAGAGGAAAATGTAAAAGACTTACAAGGAAAGATCTCTTCATATGAAAAGAAGATCTGTGATCTCCTCCAGGAAACCTAAATTAAAAATCTTGACAACAACAACAACAACAATCTGAGATATCTTTAGCTGCTTCGAGTCCTTCTCTCTCTCTCTCTCACAGTCAGTAAAAATCAAAACTTTGAATCAGAAAAATTCTCTCTCATGGATGTGGCAAGTTGCAAAGAGTGATAGATGGGTCAGTGGTGAGAGGAAACTGGGGAACCCACAATGGACATAAAAATCATTGAAAGAGACCGTTTCTGCCCCCGCCAAAATTCAACCAGTAGGTCCATCTTCTACCTTCTCCGTACCCATCATCGCCAATTCGCCATTACCATTTTTAATATCCTTCTCGTACGATAATGGCGAAACCAAGAAAGAGGAAATCTAATTTAGAGACTTTATTAAAGCATAATTAAAGAAAGAAGATTAAGAAGAAGAAGAACATTCGATGATATCTAAGATGTCTGGAGATACCTTATTTGATGTTCTGTTACAAAGAGACAAAGATGGTCACTGAGAGAAACCCAGAGAAAGAGAAAAGGAGAAAAAGAGAGTGAGAGAAACCAGTCTGTATCTAAGCAGCATGGAAGCGTGACGAAAGCTCCGATTCTCGCTTCGGAAGCGGAAGCGGGAGCGGGAGCGCTCGGAATCGTTCGGAAGCGCTATGGAATCACGATTCTCAAAAAGGTGAATTTGGAAGCTCACGGGAAACGCATGATTCCGATTTGGAACCGCACAAAAAGAGAATGGAAGCGTCGAATGATTAATTTGAATATGGATATGTGTTGATTGATGCGGTCTGCGTTTACAAACCCTTCGTGGTGTATCGAAGAAGAAGAAGATGAAGTCTATGGGCTGGACGTTTTTGTTTTTGGGCCTGTGGTAGTGAGAAGGCCCATCAATGTGTAAGTGTGTTTTGTCTACTTTGTCGATGTTTTTTTAGAGTTCCAAAGCAGGTGAATGAGTGTCCTAGGGTGGCTGTAGTGTGTAGTAGGCTATTGACTATTGAGTACGTGTGGTACTTCCTGAATAAAGAGAGAGAGATTGTATCAAAAAAAAATTATGTATCTTTGCAATATTGGGTTACTTTTATCTTTGCAATATTTATATTATGTATTTGGATAGTTGTTTACAAATACAGATATAAATATATATATATATATATATACGCTTCCAATCCGTATCCGCTTCCTATATTTTTAAAAAAATTCGCTTCT